GGGGGGGGGGGGGGAAATGGTCCAGGAACTGGACCAACTTCATTAAAGTGTGTGACAGATACAGCTCTGGATGCGTTCACTATTCCTATTCCAAGAAATTTGGCAAAATGCTACGTGGCCACCAATACTATTTTTGTGCACCATTATTTGTGTCCATTCCAAAAATCACTCAACAAAGTGCAGAAACTTCCAACAATATCCTTAATATCACCTGAAACTAAGACGCCTTTTAAACCCCAGCCTTCTCCCGCAGGCTTCTGCCAGGCCAAGCTTACCCAGCAGAACAGGGTAGTCCTCAGCCTCCAGCCACGGGGTGCACACCTGCACGTGCCGGAAATGCTTCTGGACAATGAGGCGGTTATAGTGCTCCTTCAGTGGCCCTTTGCCTGGGAGGAGGGGAGAAGTCACTGTGCTGAGCCGTCCCTGGCCACAGACTCGGCTTCAGGAACCCCCCTGAAGCCCCATGCACTGGAAGAGAACCTCATCTAAAACATCTTCTGAACCTCTCGGCCCCAAAGGGCTGACTGTGAATCAGGTCTGTACCTAAGTCCAAGCTCCCAGCCTCTGAGGAGAGGGCATATAAGGCCAACCCCTAAGGGACAAAGGATGGCACTCTGATGGTGCAGGGATTAAAGCACCCAGTTGCTAAGTGAAGAGGCAGCAGTTTGAACACCCCCCATTCCGCGGGAGAAAGACGTGGCAGTCTGGTTCCCAAAAGCTTTCCAGCCTTGGAAACTCTCTAGGGCAGCTCAGCTCTGTGCTACAGAGTCAAAATCAACTCGGCGGCAAGTTTGCCATGCTGTGTCGTCTTGTTTACAAAGAGCTGATACGCGGATAAAGGAGACCCCAGACACTGAGCTCCCAGGAATGTGGAAAACACACTTAGATGAACAGGTCACCTACCGCAGCCCCCTCCCTGCCCCCACGTACACAGGGGCACACTGAGGGTCCCAACAGTACCTGTTATCACACAGATGAGAGAAGGAAGGTTTTCTCCATCAGCAATCAGTTGTTCAAACTCTGTGCATTAAGAACCAAGAAAACCAGTAAGTTTGGCTTTGGAGAGACAGGAATGTTCTAGCAACAGACAGAGGTAAAGGTTGCACCAGATTTTGAAGGTAATTCAAGCCACTTAATTGTTTCCACTAAAAATAGTTAAGAGGATGCAATGTTAATGTTCCTTTCAAGAAACTGAAAAGTTAAAATTTAAAAATTACAATTAATTAAAAAATTAAAATGAAAATCTTAAAAAGTTAAACCATGACTCATGTTAAAAATGTTAGCAAACTCAGAAAAGACACTCTCTTAACTCAGTAAATATTTTCTATAAAGCAAAGAAGTAAATTTAAAAACCAAGAGCAGGTACAGAAAAGATAAGCATCGGTTAAGCGGGGTGAAGAGCCAGACAGCCCTGGGTGCTGCCAAGCAGCGGCTGGCCTGGTCTAGCAAAGAGCGTTCTCCTGGAGGCAGAACTCAGACACCAACGGGTTACTTGATAACCCAGATGGGGAACTTGGAACTGACCAGCCCAAGCGCCCACTGGCCAGTGCACCTGGAGCTCCTGAGGGCAAGAACAGGACACCCAAGATGCCAGGCCAGGAGGGTGGCTCACCAGCCCCCAGCACACCCACAGCTTCAGGTGACAGCCACACACCTACTTTCTAAAGCTCCCAGCAGGATGGAGAAGTCTTCGTCTTCTATAGAGAGAAAGGAGAAATGTCACAGGTCTGTTTCTCAATACCTCTCCTCACAGTCCCAGACACCCAACCCATCAAGGGCCCAAACCCACACCAACAAACACAAACCCCAAGGGGTGGGCCCTGGAGACCTGTCCAACTTGTGCTGCTGACCAGCAGGGCTGGCCGCCCTGGTCTGTGTGTCACCAGCCCGCTCCTGGAGTCCCGCTCCGTGAAGGCTGACCATTCCACAGCTGAGTCTGAGGGTTCCGAGCTGAGAAGCAGCGAGAAAGCCTGTGAGATGGTCCTGAGCAAGCTGGCTGAGCAGGACAGCATCGCCCACCGTGGACCAAGCCCATCCATCCCTCGGGGGGCACAGGAAGGTCCCTGCTTTTATCCTGTCACAGAACTTCCTTCTAAGGGAGGCTCACACTTCCTAGTATAACAAACCCTAAGAGATGAGAGGGCAGCATTTTCCCAGTAGAAAACTCCCAAAACAGGAAGGGATAAGCAAGAGGCTAGAATGGGAAACAGTAAACACCAAGAAAAAGTGGAAGAGTGCTGTTAACATACTGTTAATGTTACAGGGATTATGGATAATACTGTGAGTCACAATGTGTGTCAACTGTTGAATGGAAAGTCAGTTTGCTCTGTACATTTTCTCCCAAACCATAATAAAAAGTTAAAGGGGAGAACAAACAGTATTTATTTGTTGCAACCAAAGTTTTAACAGTAAACTATTTCCTTCACGAGGCTTCGATTCTTATCATGCCCCTCCTCTAACCCGCTCCAGTAATCATGCTGGGTTCCTGAGAGGAGCACATGGGGGTGAGGAGGGAAACGTGTGTGTGAAGAGGCACACACAAGTCCTCTCCTCAGCCTTGGGACATCCTGGAGGACATCCAAGTCACAGGCCCTACTGCAGGGCCGGGAACATACTGCACACAGGTAAGGATGTCTGCAATTTCTGTGGAACACAAATACTTTCCTAAAGGGCCCAAAGGGAATACTTTACATTTTCTGTTGCAATATTAAGTTCTGCAGTTGAAGACGGAAGAGTGGCCACTGGTGTTACATAAATGCAAAAGGAGTGATATGTAGGAAAATATTTTAAATTCTTAGGAATTGTGGTGCTAAAATGCCTTGAGCATTACACGGACCTCCAAGAAAACAAACAGGTCTATCTTGGAGAGGGTAAAACCAAGTTTCTCCTTTGAGGCTAGGATTTTGAAACTCACTCTCACGTACTTTGGGCATGTGGCCAGGAGGGACTGATCCCTGGAGGACATCATGCTTGGAAGGGTAGAGGGACAGCTCAGGAGAGGAAGACCCCGGGTGAGATGGATTCATAACAATAACTAGGGCAATGGAAGTTGGTGTGTTAAGAGTCAGCGAGACTGGCTCAGGACAGGGCAGGCTTCAGTGCTACTGTACATAGGGTCGCTATGTGTTGCAGGCAACTCACGGCACATAACAACAACAGCAACAACAATCCAAACATTATGGAGCCATGGATGATGGATAAAATCCTGAAACTACTACCATCTATGAACTTTAAACCAAAAGCCATCTCCTGAAGTCAGCTTAAGGCCAAACAACAGCTTAGCTTAACTAAAACAAAAATATCCACGCCAAACAAACCTCAAGCTCCCTGCTGTCAATACTGAACGAGCTCACAGCTGACTCTCCACTGGGTTCTGGAGGCAATAAGATGCACAGGAGAAGACAGCCTGTCCTTCTCCCCATGAGCTCCTGGTGGATTTGAACCTCCACAGCCACTGAGACTTTGAGTTAACAGTCACACTCCTTATGGACTACGCCACCAGAGCTCCCTGAATCAGCTTAACCGAGTCAGCTTAACTAGAAGTAAAAGAATAAATGGGCCTTATGTATTATACACTTTTAAGCACTATGCACATGGAGTTGAAGTGACAATAGAAACTCCTGAGATTAGACAGGACCCTTAGGGGGCAGTGAGATGATGTTTGAGAGAGAGAAAAAACTCGGGACAGGAGAGTGAGATTCGATACACAACTCAAGAATGCAATCAGCGCCAATGGATTGTACATGGAGACACTGCTGAAGCTGGTGTGTGGTGCCCTGAGTATTCTCAACAACGACAAAATAAGGGGGTGGGCAGGGAGAAAAGTGCAACAATGAATGACTAGAAACCCTAAGTCTCTGTAAACTTTCATTAAAATTAATAAAAAAAAAAACCAAACACCACCATGGAGAAAATAAACCATATAAAATAAATAAATCAGTGGCCGTCCAGTGGCCATACTTTGCAGACCTCTGGCCTAGAGGATCCAGGCTTGCAGTGAGGAGCTGGGAGAGGCCAGCAAAGCTGCGAGCTTTGGAAAAGGCAGTCTCGGCTTTGAGTGTGAAGATGGGAGACATACCGGGCCCTGAACGCAGGGTAGATGCAGCCCAGCTTCACAAAGAGCTGGTGCTGCAGGTCCAGTGGGGTCTCTCTGAAGAAGGACGCTGGCTTGTCGTAGACGGTCACGGCCCTAAAACAAGATCAAGGGGCTTCTTGAGTGGATGGAGCCAAACATAAGGAGCGAGGCCCCTGGGATTCCAGGGAAGAAAAGGAGCCGAGGGAGGATGAGTCTTAGGCAGTGGCCCGAAGATGCTTTAGGATCACCAGAAAGGTAATAGTCGCTCTCAGACCACAGCTTCCTAGACCAGCTGGCCGGCCAGGAAGGAAGCTCCAAACCAGGAAACGTCATCCAATCCCCAGATCGTTAACAGTCCCGGCCTGCAGGTTCGGCCAGCTCTCCACCCCTGGATCCTGGTCCCCTTCTGTCCCCAGGCCTGATGGCCACCCAGTCCCTTCATACTTGATGTTCCAGTTCTGGGCCAGGTCATCCCTCATTGCACAGGTCACACACAAGTTCAAGTGTGACAGGCGGCCACAGAATTTCTCATACCTGAAAAGAAGAATCATAGGTCAGCCTGGGCCTTAGCCTGGCCCATATGATTCAGTACATCACCTTGCGACTCAATGCCCCAGGACAGGAAAGGCTGCAGTGTGTCAGTACTCCTTCAGTGTCAGTGTCACCTCGCAGGGCCCTCCTTCAGTGTCTGTGTCACCTCGCAGGGCCCTCCTTCAGTGTCAGTGCCACTCGCAGGGCCCTCCTTTAGTGTTCGTGTCACCTCGCAGGGCCCTCCTTCAGTGTTCGTGTCACCTCGCAGGGCCCTCCTTCAGTGTTCGTGTCACCTCGTAGGGCCCTCCTTCAGGGTTTGTGTCACCTCGCAGGGCCCTCCTTCAGTGTTCGTGTCACCTCGCAGGGCCCTCCTTCAGTGTTCGTGTCACCTCGCAGGGCCCTCCTTCAGTGTTAGTGCCACCTGTCCTGACTCACACTTTTCCTTATATCACAGGACTTTCTAGCTTCCTTGCAAAGGCTCTGAAGGAAGCTATACTGATCAGAATCACAAGGAAGATTGTGGACAAAGAGAGAGAAAGGGGGGAAAAGATGTAGAACAGAATGCAGAGTCATGAAGAAAACTAGACTTATTGACCCGATAAAGACAGGTGGAATCCCAAGCCCTTAGCTCTGAGACGCCCTTCAAGTCTGGAAATGAAGGCCTAGGAAGTGAATTAATTCTACGAGGGAAGAAAGTACCCCTCATTCCATCAACTGTATTAGACTGAATGGGAAACATTTGCCCAAAAGCAAAAGAGTTAGGTTTTGATTTTTTAAAAAAGAGCAGATTATACACAGCTGCATGTATATATGCACACCCACAAGTCAAGGCAGCAAGCGTTGACAGCAAGGAAGGACGCTGTACAGCCAAGACTCTGATCTGGACATTTAGGCTCCAGCTCAGTGAGACAATGAATGTCTGTTTTTTAAGACCATCTACTTGTGGGGTGTGTGTGTTACAGCAGCACTGGGACACTAAGACTGTAGGTTATTTCCACTCCTTGTCACTAGTGTCCATCCCGATTCACCCGTCCTGCCTTCTGCTGGACTCACAGGACAAGACCCATGAATACCCTCCCCCCTTCCCTATCCTCCCCCTCCCAAGGCAGTGCATCTCCGAGCCCCTCACCACTTGGCCAGCAGCACCAGCGGGTGTGTGGGGCCGTGCACCAGCCCCATGACGGAGTAGCCATAGTTGTGCCAGTCCACAACGAGCTGGCCCCCACAGAGACAACACACGAGCCAGCAGACGGCGATGGCAGGCAGGCCTGGCGGATTCTGGAAGGAGACAGACTGGAATCAAGACCAGGAAATTCAGTCCAGGGCTGAGAGCAAACCGGACTAGAACAGCTGCAACATACATGGCGAAGGGTCAGGTGCCTTGATAATCAATAAGCAGTTGCAAAATGTCATAAAAGACTACTGACAATCAGGAGTATACGGCACATGGAGGTGAGGTTTTTAAACCACTGGAGTAGAAAGACTTAAAAAAAAAGTGTATCAATGCCAAGAGTGTTGGCTTAGAGATGACTTCATTTAGTTCAGGAAGAGATGGACCTAATGTTACTCTAGGGTTAGCTACAAGTGGAGCTCTGATGGCCTAGTAGGTAAAGAGTTGTGCTTCCAACCCCAACAGCAAGAGGTTCAAATCCACCAACTGCTCTGAATGAGAAAGATGGGCCATCTTCTCCCATGTGACTTACAGCCTCTGAAAACCCTCTGGAGGGTCAGCTGTAAGTTGGCTCTGACTCGATGACAAGCGAACAACAAGCCAGCAGTAAAACCAAAACCTCTTAACACTGCACAAGCTTTGTCTATACTGGTAATGTGACCTCAGGAAGGGAGCAGACACATGCAAAGGACGGTGTGCATGCATCACTGGGGTTCTAAGTGGTGCTTTTTGTAAAAGCAATTAAAAAGAACACCAAAAACCCAAACCCACACCAAAAACCCAAATCCACAGAAAGAAGCTGAGATATAGCTGCGAATGAATTCAATCTATCAGAGCACATCACATACAGAAAATCAACTGAGTCAATGAAAAGATGAGGTGCCACGGCATGTGAAAAAGCTGCAGTGTCCCCAACAGAATTGAAAACAGCTGTTCAAACAAGTATGTGTACACCTAAATTCACTGCATTCAATAGCACAGGTCACTGAAGACAACCGCCTGAAACAGACAACAGCCTGAAACAGACAACAGCCTGATACAGAAAATAGCCTGAAACAGAAAACAGCCTGAAACAATTCATCAATACAAATGAATCTATGATATCCACTGATCCTTAAAAAAACATTAAAACCAACAGCCACAGAGTCCAACTCCATCCTACTACAGCACCCATAGAAGCTAAATAAAATCAACTACTGACACAAGGCCATTTGACATACAGTTACATTCACAAGGGAAAGACCCTGAAGGATCACATCTCCGCCTTTTGATTACGACCAAGTGTAGAAAAAGACCTCGAGGTGGTTCACATCATTCTCAAGGCAGATAGCCTAAGAATGCTGGCTCTCCAGACCCACCCAGCAGAACCTCACAGGATGGGCCTGGTGAGCAGCTTCTACAAAGGTTACCGCCGAGAACATCTTACGGAACATCTTCCTCTGCGTACCTGATGTCACCAAGCAGAATCAACTCAACAGCAACTAAGAGCAAGAGCAACACTGGAATGAAATGTTCAGAGCAGGCAGATTCAGAGAGACGTACAGTGGGGCGGGGCAGCCAGCAGGACTGAAGGACAAATAGAGAGTAGCTGCTTCTTTCAAACCAAAGCCATAACCAGAGAGTCAGTTCCGTAGGGCAGTAATTCAGCGTGCCAGAGGGTCTCCAAGGCTCGAATCTTCATGGACGGACACTGCCCCAGCTTTCTCTCTTACACTGGTTAGTGGGTTGAACCACCCACCTTTCTATTAGCAGCCTAGCACTTAAAGCACCACACTCCCAGAGTGTTTCACTAAATGGGTATGGGGTTTACTTTGGAGGGAGGAAGATGTTTGGAACTCAGATAATGCTGGTATTTGCTATGAATTGCAAGTGCCTCAACGGCACATAACAAAAACAGAAAATAAATAAAAGCTGCTAATGGGCTCAGGGAGGCAGGAGCTGATACACACCTGCAGGAAGACATAGGTGGAGGGTTCCATCTTCACAAAAGCCCAGAGCAGCTGCAATGCCTGAACGACAACTTTGACTCCGTACTGGAGGACGCGGGGCCCCACTGCAAGTCAGAAACTGGCTGTCACTGATCAACAAGTGCTCAGCCATCTGCAGGCTCCCCCAGCGGAACCAGAGGGATGGATTCTAAACACACACACACACACACACGAGTATCATACCTGCCAGCATCTGAAGTTCTGTCAAGCCCATAATCCCAATTCTGTCATTCTGCAGGAGCTCGTCCCGGGGCTTGGAGTCTGAAATGAGAATGTACGTCCCCTTCAATGTCCCATCAGAAAGTTCTAGACATCCCGGGACTGGGGGATGTAACTTAGTCAAGTGTGATCACTGCTCGGACTGAAGAGGGGAGAGAGTTTGTATCCTGGAAAACCAAACCAAACCTAATGCGACTGAGTGGAATCTCACTCACAGCAACAGTGCAGGAATGAGCAGAATAGCCCTGTGAAGTTCCCACAGCTGTAAATCTTTACCAAAGCAGATTGTCTCATCTTTCTCTTATAGAGCAGCTGCAGGGTTTGAACCGTGGATCTGATGGTTAGCAGGTAAATTCTTTCACCACAGCTCTAACAGCATTCCTTCCGGAAAATAAGACTTCACAAAATATCTATCACGCTTCCTCAGTAGCCAGAAGAGATAATGAGGCCAAGTTCTGTTTAGATCCCTCTAGACTGCACACAGGGAGGGAACTCAAACTGCATCCATCATTACTTACTACAACTTCTAGTTGGCCTGCGCAGCTGGCAGGGAGCTGTGGTGGCTCAGTGCGTGGAGAGTTAGGCTGCCAAGTCAAACGCAGGAGGTTCGAATCTACCAGCTGCTCCGGCAGAGAAAGATGGGCAATCTCTTTTGGTACAATTTACAGCCTCTGAAAATACATTAAGAGGGTCAACTAGGAGTCAGTTCTGACTCGATGCCAATCAACATCATCACAACATAGCTGACATTTAATTAAATAGATCTGAATTTCCTGGAGAAAAGAATGTTATCATAGCAGTGACATCTCGAGAAAGTTCCACTCCACCTTGCATCCACCGTCCATGGATTCCACTGCCATGGAATCTGTTTGAATTCATAGCAACCTTACCAGACGAAATAAAACCATGGAGTTTCCAAGACTCTAAATCTTTAAAAAAGGAAATGGGTGGCAAGTTCAAACAGATGAACTTTCCATAAAACTTAACCACAGCACCACCAATGTTTCTTTACCCAAGAGTAAAAGGGACCAAGGAGTTCTAATGGCTCAACCTGGAACCCACCCAGCAGCTCTGAGGGAGGAAAGCCTGACCATTTGCCCCCATAAAGATTACAGTCACTTCCTAGGACAGTTCCACTTTGTCGCTTGGAGTCACTAGGAGTAAAAAAAAAAAAAAAATAAATCAACTCACTGGTACCTAAAAACAACAAAAGACAAGCACTAAAGGAACCAGTGTTGCTCTCACTTTTCCCCCCAAGATATGGATGAGTTGCTTTTTCCAAAGATGTTCACATGGAAACAAACAGAAGAAAGGAAAAATGGGGATGAGGGGCTGGACTTGAAGCACAAATGAAACCATGTGGAGGTGTGGTTGGCTGCACGTGACCCTGAGTTACACACACGCGTTTTCAGCCCCAGTCTTTTCACATCATGGGCGTAAGTATGATCATACAATGAATTTGCTTAATGTGTCAGCCACAGCATTGGCACAAGGCAAGCTGTTTGCAGAGACGGCTGTAGGGCAACATAACCGAATCGGCTTCAATAAAAACCTCTTCTGCTTTTATTTGAACCTTTCAATGTTGAGCTATATTTCTTGGTGTGGGGAGTGGAATTACACCATTATTGAGATGGAGAGACCATTCAGTTTATTACAAGTCATTCCGGGGCTGTTAACAAGACAGGATTTTCTGATACCGTATTAGTAAGATTGTTTCCCGAACCATGTCTGATTCTGGGGTCCACTGTAAAGAACTATCCATAATATTGTACATCACGAGTCCTTGGGTGCAAGCTACTGAACTTGCATCTGTTTTGAAAATGGCCTTTTGAGAAAAGACTGTGATATTCTATACCTGCCAGAACGCAGAGAAAAGGAATGACATTCCTAAGTTATATGGCCAGGTTGGTGTCAAGGTTCAGGGAAACATTCTTAGGAGAACTAAACCAAATTCATTCCTATCAAGTCAGTTTGACTCACAGTGACCCTGCAGGGATGAGGAGAAGAACTGCCTATGTCGTTTCCAGGACTAAAAGTTTAAATCTTGGGGAACAGATTGCCACTTCTTAGAGCAGATTATTTAGCGGGTAAATTCCTTAACCACACCATCAGCAAGTCAACAAACTCAGTTTTTTCCAGTTTAACATGGGCTCCAGATTCATGTCAAAACTTTAAAACGGATTTTATGTTCTTTTCAGTAAGAGCTCTGGGGGTGAGGTGTACCAAAAGCTAGTTCTGCATTCAACAGCTGTTTCGAGGAGTTTCTTTCCACTCTGATGTTGCTGTCTCAGAAAAAGGGGGGTTGCGATAAGTCCAATCTACTTACTGGCAGAGGGTCTGATGAGCTTGTACACATCCACACCCCACACACAGTTTGTACACATCCAACACAGACACACACACACACACACAGTTTAAACTGTCATGCAAGATCCACTCAGACTAAGGGAAAACCAGCAACCAGATGTGCAAGACCCCCCTCGTCCACTCCTGGCTGATTGCAGGACAGAGCAATGGGCCCCGGAGCCTTGGGGAGGCAGAAACCGACAGCCCCCAGACAACAATACTCTCCCGGCCCTGCATCCCGGTGCACTCACGGTAGAACCCCAAGAAGGTAACGGAGAAGCCGCACTTGGCCAGCGAGAGCGCGTGGTACTGCATGCGGGGGCTGCGGCCCAAGTCTCCCAGCACCACGACGGCCACGTGCCGGCTCGCGGTCCGCCACCGCCGCCAGCGCTTCCACGCGCCCAGCAGCAGCAGCAGAACCAGAAGCACCGTCAGCACTAGCGTTACCACGCAGGGCGCCGCCATCTCGGCAGCCCGCGCGGGTCACGTGACATCACCCGGCAGCGGGGAAGCCGTGCGCAGTCGCAGAACGAGCCTCCGCGGTGGGCGGGGCGAAGGGCGGGGCTTCCGAGTAGGAAGTTGGTGGAACCGCTGGGACTCCCACCCTCTCTCTCTTCCAGTCTCTCTTGCACACTCAGGGAGCTCTGGTGGCCCAGTCAATAGGAAGTTGCGCTGCCAAAACCCAGGGCAATCGGTTCGAATCCACCAGCTTCATTAATAAATACGGAGCTCTGGTAGTACAGCCTATAGGGAATTGTGTTGTGAACCCAAAGGGGGCTCTTCTCCGGTAGTTCGAATCCACCGGCAGCTCTGTAGGAGAAAGATGGGCAGTCTCCTCCTGTGAGATTTAAAGACTCAGAAAACCCACTGGAGGGTCAGCTGAATCGGTTCTGATTCCACAGCAATGACTTCTTTTTGGCTCTGAGTAAATAGTATCCGCTTTGAGCACTGTGTGCTGTTTTAAGATTTATCTATACAAGGAAGCCCTGGTGGCCTAGTGGGAAAGAAGCTACACTGCAATCCAGAGCCACCAGATGCTCTGCTGTAGGGCCAATCTCCTACTGTGCCAGGATCCGATTAAACGGTTGTTGTTACGTGTCATCAAGTCGCTTACGACTCATAGCAACCCTATGTACAACAGCCCTAAAAACCCTGCTCTATCCTGTGCCAAATGCACTGCCTCTGACACACCCATCCCGATGACCCCAGTCACTAAATCCACCTCATAGAGGGTCTTCCCCTCTTGCGTCGTCCCTCTCCAAGGACCTGTCCCTCCTTACAACATGTCCAAAGTATGTCAGACAAAGCCCCAGAATCCTTGCCTCCAAGGAGCAGTCTGGTTTAACCCTCTCCAGGATGAATCTGTTTGTTTTCTTGGCAGTCCATGGTATATTCAATACTCTTCTCCAGCACCACAGCTTAAAGGCATCAATTCTCCTTCTATCCTCCCTAGTCATTGCCCAAATCTCTGATGCATAACAAGTGACTGCAAAGACCATGGCCTGTATCAGACGCACCTTAGTCTCCAGAGTGACACCACTGCTCTTCAGTACTTTGGAGAGGTCCCTAACAGCAGACTTTCCCATCGGTACACAATAAGAAAAAAAGATTTCTCTATACAGCATCAAATCAACAATAGCAACTTGAAAGATGAGACAGACCCAAACTCACTGCCACCCAGCTGAAGCTGACTTCTAACAACCATGAAGGACAGGGCAGAAATTACACACAGGGTTCCTGATGGGAAAGACCAGTTGTCGTATCTTAGATGGCCAATCAGAAACTTTTACATCCTCGAATGATATTCTTCAAACAAGCACTTAGAGCACTGTCTTGGGAGCTCTGGTGGCCTAGCAGCAAGGATCTGCTCTGCAATGTCAAAGGCATGCAGTTCAGGGCCACCAGCTGTTCCATGGGAGAAGGGTGGGCAGTCTCCTCCCATACAATTAACTGCCTCTGAAAACCCACTGGAGGGTCAACTATGAGTCAGTTCCAACTTGAAGGGACACAACAAAAACACAGCAGTTGAACTAGATGTCCCATGAGATTCCTGAGCTTCTAAGCCCAGTCCCTACCCCCTGCAACGTGTTCCCCTCTATCTGAAGTCACTCGCAGGGGAGAGTTCTTAACTAAACAGACTAGCCTATTACATAAACAAACACTAGTGAGGAATGTGCTTCTCAGAAAGATCAACCGGGAGGAGACCAAAAGTGCAACAGTTACTCAAAACACAAGATGAGAAGGGAGGGAGGGGGGTAGGAAAATCAGCAGAAAAGGAATGGAAACAGGAGACCTTGGATAAAAATGGAGAAAGTGCTGACACACTGTAGAAATTGCAAGTGATGTCACGGGACCATCTGTGTATGAATTACTGGCTGGAAAAGGAATCTGCTGTATAAGCTTGCAGAACCACTGCCTGCCATCATGTCAATTTCTGCTTACAATACCCAAGGACAGGTAACTGCTCCAGAGTTCCCGTATCTCCAAACCTCCATGGGAAGAGACTGCAACATCTTTCTCCTGAGGAGTGGCTGATCAATCTTTTTTGTTTACATTCAGGTTCATCTTTATCTACAAAACCAAATCCCAAAGGAAGCTCTGGTGGCCTAGTGGTTAAGGAGCTGTGCTATAATCCCCAAGATCTATGGTTCAAATCCACCAGCTGCTGCTCTGCAGGCCAAAGATGGGCAATCTCCTCTTGGATGATTAAACTGCCGCTGAAAATTGGCCAGAGGGTCAGCTGTGGGTCGGTTCTGACTCTACCGCACCCAACAATAACAACAACAATCTTATATATATAAAATTTTTAAATGGTAGTGGTTTGGTGAAACTTCACAGAACAAATCAGTTTTTCATTCAATAATACAGTTTGTTTAGTGGCCATGGTTACTTGTAATGCAGACATATGCTTACCACTTCCTCCTATTTCCATTCAACCTTTCTTTCCTACCATCTAAGCTTTATTAGTTTGTGGAAAGCACTGCCCTTTTCATCTTGTATGGGTGACTGTTCTGGGAAGCAAATTCATGTTCTGAGTGAGTTTGAACTGCCAATTTGTCAGCTGCTGAGCAAACAGCCTTTCTGTAATACCCGTTAAGAATCTGTAGAGACCTCAGAAGGTCAGCACCTGTGATACTGAATCCCAACACCACCTGGTGGCCTCTTTTATTATAGCAATTTATTCAGTGCTAGAAAACTCTCTGGCACAGGGCACAATAAAAAGTCTGTAAACACGAGGATTTTGCATCCTCTCGCCGAGTCTGCCTTCTAAGGAACGTGCTATGACAGCAAAGAGAATTTAAGTTGCAATCTTGGTGATGAGGTCAGCGGAAGGCCTGGACGCTCCGAGGCTTGTCAAGGGTGTTGGCTGTGATCGACCACTTGGCCATAATTGGAATAGGGGACAGTGGGCCCCTTCTCCAGCAGGCTGCAGCATCCCGAGGGCGGGCCTCTCAGGCAGGAGGTGGCGTCTCCTGGGGGAGCACGAGGTTGCTGCGGTTTGTGTCTCCAAGCAGGAAGACTAAGCACGCGGCTGAGGCCCTGGGGCCACTGGGACTTGCCTTTGCCAATGGCTGTGAAATGTCCTCTGCAGCCGCCGGGATACATGGGCATGGTCCTCAGGGCGTCTAACCCGGTCAGCCTGAGGGTTCGGTCCGTGCGGGGGCAGCAAGCATCTCCCAGCTGTTTCTCCGTGGCTGGAGCAGCTCCCAGTTCGTCTCCTGCAGCGGGTGGTAGGCGTAGTCACCATCCAGGTGTCGGTTTCGCTGCACTCTGGAGCCTCGGAACAAGGTCACGTTCACGGCCATGCTCACCACCAGCAGGAACAGCAGGGTCAGCGTGAGGACCAGCCAAGTGGTCCTGGGGGGTGGGTGGGTCAAGAGAAACAGGCAGTAATTAAGGGCTTGAAGGGGCTCAAGGAGCTCTTCTTACTCAGTGTGGATGCGGGAACTCAGGGCTAGGGTGAACCTTCTCGGCCTCCAGGTCAAGGCCCAGTGCCACTTAGGACAGCTGGGTTCCTCAGGCCTTAGAGCTCTTGCCCTGGAGGACAGAAGTCAGCATCCCCATGGCCAAGAAAGCAAAGTCCCCAGCCTCTCTGGGCGCAGGCAGGAGGAGGGGCCTGGAAGCCCACCAGCTCCAGCATGCCCTGTCTGGATCTGCCAGCCTCCATGATGTCCCAAGGCTGTGCCACAGACTCAGTCCTTGAGCCCCTGATGGTGCATCCGGCCTTGCCACCCACCCTGGACAAGGCCAGCCTGAAGGTGGGGGAAGAAGCTCTGCCCAGCTCCCTGGACACCAACCTACCCCGTGAAGAAGGAGGGTTCGCTTGCCCTTGTGGTTGCCTTGAATGATGGGAAACACTGCTTTGCTGTAAAACACACAGGAATGAGGGGCCAGGAAGAGGGCCCAGCCCTAGTGTCCCCAGGTCAAGGCGGGGTGAGGGGCGTACCTAGAGAGAGGAGGCTGCTCGTGGCTGGTGACCAGCTGAAGCTGCAGTTGCCAGTGTAGGGGTCGCAAGGACAACTGTGCTCACACTGGCAGGGGCTCTGGCAGCCAGGCCCGTACCAGCCCAGGGGACACTCTGAGAAGACAGAGGATAGTGGTCAGCTCCGCCTGTGCATCCAGGCAGGTGTGTCCCTCCACAGGTATGAAGGGAGAGGCCCACCTCTCCTTGTCCTGGGGGACAGGGTGGGGGAGATCCCCCTCCTCGTACTTCATAGGTAGGCATGTCCTCTCTGTGCCCTGCGAGGTGGCTGAGGCAGAACAGGGAAGCCCTGCTCTCCAAGCCAGCTGGATAAGCCCTTCATCCCTCTAGGTCAGCCCTGCAGGTACCCCTGGGTTTCTCTAGGTTCCCTGACCAGGGGCCTTGCTTTGGCTTACCCTGTGCACAGAGGTCCCCCGTGAAGCCAGGAGGGCAGGTGCAGGTCCCGTGGACCGGGTCACAGGCAGCTCCGTTCTGACACTGGCACTTCTGGGCACAGTCCTGCCCAAAGGAACCATTGGTGCAAGCTGGGATGGGAAAAGAGGGGTCTTTGCAAAGTCTAGGCTGGGGCTTGTAGCACTTGTAGCAGGGTCTCAGCCAGTCCAGGCTCGTGTGCTCACCCAGCAGAGTGAGCGGGGGTCCTGAGGGCACAGCGGCGAGGGGACACAGGCCCTGCTCCAATAGTGTTCACCATATGAAAGAGGGGATGCCAACAGGCTGATAAGGTGACAACACAGTATAAGAGGAGATGACGGCTAGAGGGACACAGGCAGAGGGTGGCAGCAACTGCTGTAGCCACCGAGCCTGGTAAAGGGGACGCTTCCATGTGGCTTCTGCAAATGGCACTGAAGCTGACATTTGGAAGAGCCATTCAGGGGCCCCGGGGAAGAGCAATCACAGAAGCAAGAACAGGAATTGGAAAAGAAAGACGGACAATTGTTGGCCTCTTTGAAGATCCAGGGACAGGAAGGCTTGCCAGGCACAAGAACTTGGACACACGGGCAGGGCAGTGCTGGGAAAATTTCAGGAAGGAGAGAGAGTGCAAAGGGCGTGGCGGGCCCCGCCAAGAAGGCTGACTATTGTGAGGTGCTATGGAATTGGTGCCAACTCCCCACGACCTTAGACACAACAGAATGAAATGATGCCTGATCCAGCGCCATCCTCACAATCACTGTCAAGCTTGAGCCCATTGTGGGAGCTGCTTGTCAGCCCACCTCTTACGAGTGGTGGCCAAGAAGAGTGAAATTTCCGTTAAGTGCAAAAGCAAGCAGCTGCAGTGCTTTATGCTGTGGGTGGCTGTAGCGGGTAGAATTTTTCTCCCCAAAAAGCCAAGTCCTAGCCCCAAGGACAGGTTGTTAGGTATGAGGTGCACTGATTACAACTCTTGGGATCCCATGTTTACAGAGACGTGCCCTCACTGGGTTTACTGGCTGCCCGAGTGGCAAGAAGCTGCACTGCAATCCAGAAGGCATGCGGTTCAAAGCCACCAGCCACTCTGTGGGTGAAAGATGGGCAATCTCCTCCCATGCGATTAACTGCCTCTGAAAACCCACTGGAAGGTCAGCTATGGGTCAGTTCGAGTCTGCAGTACAAAACAACAAAACTCTTTACAGGAGCAGACTGCCTGAGCTTGTCTTCCAGAGTTACTGGGGAGATTGAAGCTTGGCACCTTTATTTAGGTTTGTAGCCAAAGGCTGAGCTGTCCACCACCAAGATGCCAACAAATACATGTAAATTTGGATCCAGGGGCTTTGCGGCTTTAATTGATTCTAAGAATTGAGCTAATACTCTCATAATGAGAATCACCCTAGATTTTGGGGGAGCCTTTAACAATGACCAGTGTGCTGATGTGAGAGATGTGTTCAGTCATGGCTGATGCAGTGAAAATGGAAGACTTGAGTCTGTAAAATATTGTATACTGGAATGCTCGTCGCCACCATTTTTGAGCTGGATCTGCTGTTTCTGACTTTGTAGGTCAAGAGATTTGACTCTGAGGCAACCTTCAGGCTGCCTCTATTCTCTAAGGAGGAGACCGAATTTCTAGCAGGGCATCCAGCCATCATTTTTCCAGTTCCTGCTAGTGTCCTGTGACCCTCACAGTGTCTTAAGAGTCCAGTCCAGTGTTGCTTCATTGGCCAAGACTAAACTGGGAAGAGCCATCTGAGGCCCTGGATGTGAGAGGCCATGTGCAGATGGGGACAAGGACCACCAGAGGGCGCCAGAGGCACAGCACAGACAGGTTCTTCCCTGAGTCTTCAGAGGAAAGGTGGCTTCCTACTTTGCACTTCTGGATTTGGGGGCTCAGAAACGACATTTCTCTTATTTCAAACCACCCAGTGGGCAGTGATCTGTTGAGACAACTTCAGGTCACTAACAGTGGATACCTATTTCCAGGGCAGAAGCAAGGAGGCTAGCCCTACCTCCACGCTCACCCGTAAAGGGACTCAAAGCAGCCAAGAAGTTTGATTCTGCCCATCACCCAGTGTCTGGGGCGGCCTTTTACCTTCACTGCAGTTGGATCCAGTCCATCCAGCTTTGCAGCTGCAGCCACCTGCCCAGACAAGACAAGAACAGGTGAGAGTTTGGGCACGTCTGTGGCAGTGAGGGCTGGTGAGCTGGGAGGCGCATTCTGTTCACTCTCAGTGCAGAGCCTGTGTCTGCTGCAGTTGGAGGCCCTGCTCAAGCTCACTGCAAGCCAAGCTGCCTCCCAGGAGCCTCCACCTCCCCTCAGTGCAAAGCCCGCTCCCACATCGCTGGAACCTCTGGGCACTCTCAGTGCAGAGCCTGTGTCCACTGCAGCTGGAGAGGCCCCCTCAAGCTTACTGCAAGCCAAGCTGCCTCCCTGGAGCCTCCAGTCTCTCTGTGCAAAGCCCAGCATCCACATTGCTGGAGCCTCTGCTCACTCTCAGTGCAGAGCCTGTGTCCACTGCAGCTGGAGAGTCCCCGCTCGAGCTCACTGCAAGCCAAGACGCCTCCCAGTAGCCTCCACCCCCTCTCAGTGAAAAGCCTGACACCCACATCACTGGAGCCTCCGTTCACTCTCAGTGCAGAGCCTGTGTCCGCTGCAGTGGGAGGCCCCGCTCGAGCTCACTGCAAGCCAAGCTGCCTCCCAGGAGCCTCCACCCCCTCTCAGTGCAAAGCCCATTCCCACCTCCCAGGAGCCTCACTCACTCTCAATGCACAGGCCGTGCCCACTGCAGTTGGAGGGGCCGCAGTCCAGCTCATTGCAGGCCTCCCCTCGCCAAAAGTGCCCAGTGCACTGGCAGCTCCCCTGCACGCAGGTCCCGTGGCCACTGCAGTCGGGCGGCTGGCAGCGGGGCTCGTGCACACAAACCACAGTGGACACGCGACGGGGACAGCGCCACATGTTGTCCTCACTGTGGGCAAGGGCTCAGTGTGAGGGGAGGCTGCAGTGTCAGCTACCCCTTCCTGCAGCCCAGTGGGTGGGGTTCTTCCTGCCTCCCGCTGCTTGCTGCTTTCACGTCTCAGGCCTCTCATGGGTTACTGTGCCCGAATGGTGCAAATGACACTTCTAAGGCTGCTGAAAAGTTTAAGGTTCAAGTCTACTCAGAGACCCCTCAGACTAAAGGCCTGGTGACAGATTTTTCAAGAAATCAGCCATTGAAAACCCTATGGAACAACTCAAAAAAATGTCATTAATGTCATGGGATTGTCCAAATGGTAATGGTTAGTGAAACTCATGTATGTTAAATTCAGAACACACTGCCTTCGAGTTGATTCCAATTCATAGTGATGCTGCAGGATTTCCAAAGGTGTTAAGTCTTATTGGAAACAATTGGACTCATCTGTCTCCCAGAGGGTGGGTTTGAACCGCCAACCTGTTGGTAAGCAGTCTAGCTCTTTACCCACTGCACCAGCCAGGTTTCCTTAAGCACACAGACGTACTCAATATTTGCTGGATGAGACCTGTGGGGAGCTGGGAGTCACCACTGGGGTGGAAAGGCTGGACCCACATAAAAGGGGGCTCTTTTGGGCTTACCAGTGGTCAGATGGGAAATTGGCCAAGGTCCCATTGAGCACGAAAGTGGCCGAGCCGCCCCCGTCCAGGTTGATAGCGTTGACCACACCCTGCTGCAGCAGGAACTCCGCCATCTCCCACAGGCTGATGCTGAGGCAAAAACACAGCAATGCTGACGGCCGAGGTCACGGTCACGTCTGCTTTCACCTGTCCTGACCCCCATCACTGGCCAGAATCACAACCACTACAGGAGACCAATTTCTAAGGTGGTCCCTGAGATCTCCTCCTCTGACCCTGTGAATGTTATGTCGCCTCTGTAATGACGCCAGATTATATTGCACAACAAGCCAAGTGGACCCAGTGGAGGATATAAGATCTGAAGTCAGCCCTTTGAAAAGCGAGACCTTCCTGTGGCCAGTGGCAAGGGAAGGGAGACAAACCTGAAGCTTCAAGAGCCAGCAAGGCAGCAAACACCTCCATTCTATGAGTGCAATCAACATTAAAGTAGCCTGAATGAGTCTGGTAGAAGAGTCTTTACCCAAACTTTCAGATAAGAACTGGCCTGGCCAACACTTGCATTCTGTTCTCAGGCTGAAGACCCACGCTTACAGAGCCTACCCTGATGTCTGGCCAAGAGTACTATTATTGTTGTGTGCCACAGAGTTGGAATGGACCCACAGCTGACTCCCCAGCAGGTTTTCAGAGGCAGTAAATCACACGAGAGGAAACTGCCCATCTTTCTCCCATAAAGTGGCTAGGAGGTATTTGAACTTCATACCTTAACGATGACAAGGTAATTCCTTACCAGTAAGCCACCAGAGTTCCCCTGACCCAGAGTACTAGGCTTTAATATATGGATGCTGTTTGGGTGTTGTGTTTTTTTTTTAAATTATTATTATTTTGTGTGTGTGTACTGTCAAATCAGATCTGACTAGTACAGGAGGAGATTGTCCCTCCTTCTCCAGCAAAGCATCTGGTGGATTCAAACTGCACGCCTCTAGGATTGCAGTGCAGCTTCCTGCAACTAGGCCACCAGAGCTCGCCGTATGGATGCTGTTTTAATACACATTTGTTAAGTGGCCAGTAGCAAATTGGTACGCTCTTTACACATTCACTTTCTAGAGAAGCTGTGGTTTGGAGAGGCTGAATCTCTGGCCATCGAGCTAGCAAATGGCCACACTAGGGTGGGAACCAGGCCTCGTCGCTCTTCTAGCTGCACCATCTTTTCCCTTTAATACAAGTGGGGTGCAGCAGGGGTGAGGTGATGAGTTGGGAGGGATGCAGGGGGTTAGTGTGTGGAAGATGATGAGTTCTTTAGAATGGGAAGACCTAAGGACTTTCTTGATCCAGGGAAAACAGGTGAACAGGAATAACAGAGAGCGGTCAAAGAGAGCCTGCTGACCGGGCAGAGACCGCACAAAGGCCAACTTGGGCCAGGATCTCAGCTCCAGGACTCACCCCCGCTGCTCCGTCTGTCCGTCAGCGTGGAAGAGCACCACCTTCCCCTCCCAGTCATGGCCTATGGCTGTCCTGGCCGAAATCACATTCACAAATTTGCTGAAGGAACCTGGAGGAGAAGCAGGAGGGAAAGCCACATTTCACACCAAATATTACATGAAAAACCATATGCTTATTCAGGAACTGAAGGAATCACGTAAGTTGCAATTTCTCTTGTAACAGATCACAGGAAATTAGCTGCTTCCTACAGAAAAGAGGTAGCTAGGAGGGAGGTGTGAAATACTTCCTTCCTGAGCTAATTATCAGGTTGACATTAGAGAAAAATTCGGCTTCATTTACAAGAGAATTCTCTTTATGATTTGCTTCCCCCGATTCTCAATAAATACACAAAAAGGGGTGGCTTGTGGAGCTTAAGTTGATTCGAACTGCTGGCCCCGTCTTTACGCTGTTAACTTATACATTCTTGGTGTTTTGTCCTGTTATTAATATACTTTACCTTCAGTCTGCAGCAAAGCAGCCTGGCTTTGGACACTGACAATCCGCCTACCACTCTCCACCTTCCCACCACCATACCACCATCTCTCACTGATGCCAGACAACCTCTTCACCAGCCTTCTGGTTTCCCTCTGCCCCATCCTGGTCCAGTCTTGGCAGAATAACCAGACTCTCCTGGTGAAAACCCATTCCTGGTTTCCACTACTCTTAGTTGGGATAGAGCCCAGCGCCTTCTCTAGGCTTACATGACACAGTCTGCACCTGTTTCCTCTACCTGTACCCTTCACTTCTTGGCCACTTTCTACCTGTGGCCCTTTGCACGAACAGCCTTGACTGACTCCAACTCCGCTCCTCCAGGCCCAGAAGAGCTTCCTTCTTCTCTCAATCACCTCCTTAGTGAGGTCTCCTGACTGACTGGTATCCTCTGGCTCTTCCTCCATCCTAGTATTTCCCATCCATCCTTGGTGGTATTGTGGATAAAGCAGCTGGCTGGCAATCAAAAGGTCAGCAGTTCAAATCCACCAATACCTGCACAGGAGAAAGCTAAGGCAGCCTGCTCCCATGAAGGTTTGCCTCCATGGAAACCCAATAGGGCAGCTCCACTCTGTCCCATAGGGTCACTGTGTTGGAAATGACTCGGCAACAGAGGGTTAGGTTTGGTTTTTTGCAGTTTTACCAGAATTATGCAGAGGCTCCTTAAAATGCGGACTCTTGCATCTCGCTCCCAGAGTGTCTCATTCAGGAGGTCTGAAGGGGGTTTCGGACTCTAATTATTATTATTTTTTTAGTTAAACAATGATTTTATTGCTCAAGGACATAAGACAGATTTATGCAATCAGGGCAGAGGCTGTTGATGATTCCTATTTCCAACTGGGGGGAAGGGACTCTCTCTTTGTCTTATAGTATAGAGCTGATCGGTGAATTCGGCTCTCCATCAGTATCAGACGGAATTTAGTATCCTTATCCTTTTTGTTTCTCTCCAGATGCTTTCAAACCACAACAGCCTTCTTAATTAAATGATAGAGGTCTTCAGGAAGATCAGGCGCACTTCCTTTGGACTTAAAAGATTCTCTAGATTTTATTGCCTGTCATAAAACACACTTGTACAACTCCATGTGGATCTATGAGGATCACACCAACGTGGGAAGGAGTCAGACCCTTCTAGGCTAGTTTGTAGATCTGCTCGTTCACATCGTCTGACACCAACTTCAGCCAGGTGGGGATGTGGCGGCAACAGGGCAGAGCTGACTGAGACAAGCAAGCCCTTCACAGGAGCACGCATGTGACCCATGATGGCGGCAGACAGGCAACGAAAGAAACTCTGTAATTCTTTCTAACGTTCTTTGAACATTTTACTGTGCTTTGAGGGATCGTTTACACCGCAAATCAGTTTTCCATTCAACAAACTGCTCTGCGACATTGATTGCAATCCTTTCATTGTCAGTATGTTCCCTCTTTCTTCATTTCCATTCATCTGGTTTCCCTGCCTTTATACCTTCAGTTTTGACAAAATATTTCTTTCCAGATGTCATGTCTATTAATTAGCTTAAAAAAAAAAGTCTAAAGGCTAGAGTGTCAGGGGTCTTTCTCCTTTCAAACTCGTAAAAACCTTATCTTTTTTTCTTTTACTTTGGATTTTGTTCTACATTTTTCACCCATTCTAATTGGGACCTAGAAGTCTTTCCAATCACTTTCTATGCATCTGAGAACTGGATAATGAATAAGGATGACAGAAGAAGAATTGAGCTGTTGAGTTGTGGTGCTGGTGAAGAGCACTGAACACCCCATGGACGGCCAGGAGAACAAATGGATATGTCTTGGGAGAGGGTGCAGCCAGAGTGTTCTTTGGAGGCAAGGATGATGAGGCTTCGCCTCACATACTTTGGACATGTTGCTAGGAGGTGGCTATTCCTTAGAGAGGGAAATGATGGTGGGAAGGGTGGAGGGTCGGCAAAGGAGAGAGGATGACCTTCAACCAGGTGGATTGACATGCTGACTGCTGCAATGAGATCTTGTGTGTCAAGAAGTGTGAGGACGACACAGGATAGAAGAGAGTTCAGGTCTTTTGTTCACAGAGTTGCTCTGAGTCATATTCAATTCAATGGCACCTAACAGTAAGTAACAACAAAAACACCACCACCACTGTGGTCAAAGGTTCTGGAGGTGTTAATATGTTACATACTGAATCCACCAGTTGCTCCACAGGAGCGAGATGGGCAGTCTCCTGTAAAGACTCACAGCCTCAGCAATCCAATGGAGAGTTTGGATGAGGCAGAATTAACTCGGAGGCAGTGGGTACTGTGGTCCTGGTCAGAGGGGTTGGTCAGTTGTGGCAGCCAGGCACCATCTAGTTCTTCTGGTCTCATGCTAGAGGAGGCTGCAGTTCATGTGAATCCTTTGGCCAAATGCTTCCTTCAGTTTTTTTCTTGGTTCTCTTTTGTTCCAGACAGGAAGAAAGAGACCAATAGTTGAACCCTACATAGTTGTTGCTGGGAATCTTTTAAGATTCTAGACAGTACTCACCAGAGTCGTTATACAACATTAACATGTAGGACTCCGCCTTTCTAATAAGCTCATGGGCGAAGCTGTCTATGAACATTTAGCCACGTTTTCTCATTCCTATGCTCCTGGCTAGCAGCCTACACTCTCTCATTTCCTCCTGCTCAGCCAGTGCATTAACAGAAACCCTACCTATCTTTCTTAACACTGACTCTTTTAACATGTTACACATATGTAAATTATGTTTCTATATGAGCTTTCTTTGGGGGTTGTGTGGGGGGTTGTGTGTGTGTGTGTGTGTGTGTGTGTGTACAGTCAAATCGGATCTGACTGGTACAGGAGGAGTGTCCCCCTCCTTCTCCAGCACAGCATCTGGTGGACTCAAACCTTATGAGCTTTCTTACCATGTCATGCAAGTAGGAGCCTCATGTATCTTAATTTCTACTACTTAGCATTGTCCTGGGGACAAAGAAGCTGCTCTAAACCCACCTCAGGTGTTAACTCTTGGTCTCTCCCCATCCGAAGCAGAGTGAAGAAAAACAAAGACAAACGGAAACTGTCAGTCCAGCTGGCTAGAGGACCACGTGAAGCTCAGCCGCCAGAACAACAAGATGAGTGGGACTGGATGGTGTTCGCCTACCACCAACCACGGCTTTAAAAGAGATCACAATAGAAGGCCCTGCATACAGTAGGAGAAAAATGTGAAGCAAGACTCAAAAATCAAATGAAGACCAGTCTGATAGACTTGTGGAACCTCGGGCCTTTCGTCAGCCTTCAAGCCTAGACTTAACCTCACCCTTGTGGCTCAACTTTCAGCCAAACAACAGACAGGCTTAAAAGGTGATCAATCACATCAGGGTGGTCCTTCTTAGAACAGTCAATCATATGAGATAAAAAAGGGCAGCATCTGCCCAAGGATAAATTTCAAAAGGCAAGAGAGGATAGCAAGGAAAGATGACTGAAAACAGAAAACATAGGGAGGAAGAAGAAATAGTATTGTTTATTGCAGAGACTGCAATTAATGTTATAAAGCGAAACGTGTGTGACTGGAAAATCCATTTACCCTCTAAACTTTCAACTAAACCACAATAAAAACAAACAAAAAACCAGAGCAGCTCCTCTAACAATACCTGCTGGAGGACTTGAGTCAATTATCCCACTATCCCACTGTTCCCAATTCTCCAAAGAGCTGCTGTCAGCAGTCAGTCCCCCTGCGCCCTTCCCCTGCCCCACACTCACCTGTCTCCTGTGTCTGATCACACTCGGTGGCCAGGCTCTCGTTGATATAGGTGCTCCCATTGCGAATAAGCCACACCACGCCGCTTACCAACTGCACAAATGGATTCTCAGTGTTTAACACCTCCTCTTCAGACAGGTACCTGGGCACAGAAAAGACGTGAGGGTCACAGGAATGACAGCTGATGATGGGGCGCCCTCTGCTGACCACAGCCTGACTTCTTGATTCCTCCTGGTATCACAGTAACACACCTTGTAAGAGCTAGCATCAAAAGGGATATATGATTGGGTCTTACGGTCATGACAGGAGTCCAGAATGAAGGCTGCACAGTGCAGTGGACTTGGGGGGAGGGACTGCATAACAATGAAAGAGTTTGTGGGGTTTTTTTTTTTACTTATCTTTTTTTTTTTAACTTATCAAGGAGAAAAGTGAATTGGGGAGAGGCAGTGGGCAGGAAGAAAAGTGCAACAGTGAATGACTGGAAACCCTAAGTCTCTGTAAACTTTCAATAAAACTAATTTTTAAAAAGGTGGGGGGAAGAGCTAACGTCAAGGGGATTGCAGCCAGACACAGGCCTCTGGTAATGCCGGCTCCACACACAGCTCTGTCAAGACTCAAGCACTTCCCAGTCAACCCTGTGTCTACTCTAAACAAACACTTCAACATACTTCAAATCCATTCACTGGCCTCAATCTACCGAGAGCTCTGGTGGCAAGTCCTTAAGCAAGTTACTCCTTCTTCTACTCCTCTCTCAAATCCTCAACCACATGACTATAGGCACTCTGGATGCTTTGCACCTGCTGTTCCTTCAGATGACCTTGCTAGCTCTCCAGTCCTCATTCTGACTCCTGAGTGATCTCCAGATCTTTATTCAATGATCATCTTTAGAGAGAAATCCTTCCAAGAAACAAAAACCTTCAAAACCAACAAACAAAAAATCCCCACCCAAAATCCCCGCTAACTCATGTTGTTGTTTGATGCTGTCGAGTCGTAGATGACTCATAGCGACCCTATGAGCGAACAGCC